TAACTGTATATGGTTTCTTATATTATTATATAAATGCATTTATTCTTATCCTTAACTCCATCACATTATAATTACTGAAAGTGGAGACTGACTTTTACTTCCTGTGACCCCCACATTACTTAAGACCTGCATAGGTACAGAATGACTTCTCAATAAATTCTGCACCACCTTATAGCTGCTGTACTTAAGGAACAAGCAATTTTATATACCAATGTAATCATACAAACACTAAACAGCAAACTTAAAAAACATAATATTAAAAGGCAATAATTCCAGATGCCATTACAAATAACTTCACTAATTTTTTCTAGACATCTAGAAAATGCTTCATGAACTGGTGAGAACACCTGATCTCTGACAAATCTGCAATCTTCACATAGAACCAAAGATCTCAATGAGATTAAAGATGCAAATGCATTCCATTTTCTTCAAATGTGGAAACATGATAAAGCTATACTCAGTTCCTGAGTTCCCATTCCTTTATATATCTATCAGAATAAATCTAGGAAAAGTGAAGGCAATTCTCTGCCACAGGAAAGGTAACAAGGGCAAACAACTTAGTATCACAGAATGTAGCAAATCTGTTCCCTTTAATAATTATTTAAAACATTTCCAAATCTTAAGGCAGAACCACTGGTCCCAATGTTAAATCACTAAGCTCAATTTGAGATAATCAACTCCCTAAAGATGCAAAGAGAAACAAGTGACATATTTTAGTGAATCTGCAGTATACTGTACATCTAATTAGTTTTAAATTTACTTGGCATTTTGCATTTGTTCCAAGTTAAAAATAAGTGGTAACAATAGCTAAAACTTCAACTTAAATCTAGCATTCCAGGCAATGCACTGGTGTCAACCACTTTATATGCAATGCCTTATTTAAACCTCCTGGTCCTGTAAGATTATGTGCTATTATTAATCTCTTGCTTGAAAAAAACTAAGAGACCCAAAGATGATATATAACCTAAACTAGCCTGGGCCATAGACTGGAATTCAGGATCTAAAACCAGTGCTAGCAACCACTATTTAAACTCCTTAACTTGCTAACGAACTGATAGATTTTAACCAAACCTAACAGGCTAACAGGTGACCTAAAGGTAACAGGTGACACAGATGTCTACTTGTGGTATAACCCACCACCATGGAAAAAAAAAAAAAAAAGAAAAAAAGGCACCTATTGTTTTCTAGAAGGTCTTACATACACACTCCCATGAAATCCATTTAAAACTAGATTTCAGGCCCTCCCTGGTGGTGCAGCAGGTTAAAGCACAGCACTAAGAAGTCAGAGCTACTTCAGCATGAGTTAGATCCTGACTCTGGAGATGACCCATATGGCATTGGCAGACCTCTCCTGACCTGCCTGCTGCTCCCCTCAGCAGTGTACTTCATCATTTAGACTCCTCACTCAGTCTCTGGTGAATTCTCTCACCGCCCCTGTAGTGAGAACAGAACTGGCCTGTACCCCAGTTCTGTATGCATTAAAAAAAAAAAAAACAAAAACCCACAGAATTGTTTGGAATAATTCTTCTCATATCTTTTAAAGCTCATATTCTCATATTCATTGTTGAAATAAGCCTTAACATAAGCTTCTTGAGACTATCAAACTCTTTATTTTCACATCTTCCACTAAATCTCTGAGAGCACATCTCAAAAGTAACCATGGTACCATAAAATAAATAAAATCTATTATTCAAAGAACTCCTAAGTTACAGTGAAGCCCTTTTTTTATGGCTATTACAGAAAATATAATCCAATTTTTTTTTGCTTATGAAAATTACAATAATCTTTCATTTAAAAAAAAAAAAACAGAATTATATGACTCCAAACAAACAAACAAAGAGACTCCTTTGTCTCAGGATGTTTTCTAAAGACTGACCTGCCTGGGAAACCACCATTCTACCAAAGGAAAAAAAAAGTTCCATCAGCTTCAGTTTATACTCAACCAAAAAGGTGAAGCAACTTGTCTAAGGCTGTAGAACCTGATGACAAAATCCAGATGATATAACTGAGAAGTGAACCTAGATATGATTCCTTGACAGTTATAGGCCCACCTACTATCCAGAATGATAGAGGACAACTCTTATTTCAAAATTCTGACTTTTTAGATAGCAAAATCTGTTGACTCTGAACTGATCTCTGAAATCAAAGTTCAAATTATTACAGCAAGAAGATAAAGCTCCTAAATTATGAGGTAAATAGTTCATGACTAAGACAAAAAGCACGACAGATCACTGAAATAGGCAAATGATTCATATCTAAAGGTATGTGGCTATAATGACATCTCCCTGCATTACATGAATCAGAAAAGCTACTACCTATAGCACTAACTTGATAGAGACCTCTAGAAAGCTGGGCTCTTAATGCCAGACATTATTTTAAACTTCTACATGTGCTGCAAATCATCTCAACTATCCAGATGACTCAAATAAATCAAAACTCAACTTAGACTTCTCTATTCAACAAGTTAATTATCATTAGGACAGTCTGTGATTAGTCATTTAACAAATTACTTAAAACTGTTTCACTGAGTAATGAGTATCTTCACAAGGTTATTTCTATAAAACTAGAAACTGAGCAAAAAGTCAAGATCTAATCTCAATGATTTCACTAGAATTTACTTTTCAGTGAATTTCTTTTCCAAGTGGCATTTCTTCCAAAATTTAATGGGAGAAGTAACTTAGAGTAGAATGGGGAATGACTGCCATTGAGTATGGGGTGTGACTGTTGATGGGTATGGGATTTCTTGGTGTGATTAAAAAAAATGTTCTGGAATTAGTGGTAATAACCACATAACCTATAAACATACTAGAAACAAAAACACACAGGCATATTCTAAAGAGTGAATTTTATGGTATGTGAGTTATATCTTGATAAAGATGGTATTTAAGGAAACCAACAAAACTGAGAAAACAACAACAAAAAGAAAACCTCCTAACACATGCCCTGCCAAAGAATTTGTATTAGTAACGCTTACTGGCCTGTGATATACTTTAACTAGATAAGTAATCTGGTACCTCAAGATTTTCATCCCTCTTAATTGTCACTTTCTTAATTCTACTCTATCAATAATAAGCTCACCTCAAATTCACTTATATTTAAAACAAATGCTAAGATGTATTAACTAGTGAGTGAAAGAGATATAACTTTGATAAGCCAATAGTTTTAGGCCCATAAACGTCATCAATATTATTAGCATGAGGTAAAACTTTTTAAAGTTTCTAATAGAAGTTTTATTCAGCTTGGTAAGTTTGTTCTTTTTCCACTCAAAGGAAATCACCAAAGACTTTTCAAATTATTTTCACAAAAGGATAAATGCAATTATTATAGACCCTTGTTAAATATCAATTGTACAGTATAACACACATAAAAAACACATTAAAGTTTTATTGTAGGATACAAATAGTTTAGATTAGAAAAATAGACACTGAATGATTAAAATGCCGCTATGATCGTGACAGGTAAGACATGTATGAACTGATCATGTAGCCACTTGGAAGTGAGTTTGCATGAAACATTCAAAACTTTACAGAGAACATTAGAAGTAATTGCAATGAGCTTTTCATTAATTTAATTTTTATTGAATACATATATTCCAGGCCAGATATCAAAAGAGGCACATTAGCGACATTTGCCTTCAGAAAAATCCCAATTTGATTGTTTTTGTCAGGCACAGCATCTGACCACCTAGGTTTAACTCAAACAAGGGGAATTTAATATAAATATTTTAAATAATTGTAAGACTTAAAACTGAAAAATAAAGTTTGAAAATAAGAAAAGCTATTGTACATTTAAACCAAATCTAGCTGACTGTCTAATATAACATTACACAAGTAGTTCTAGATGGTACTACTGAAAAACAGTAAAATGACCAATAATTTAACTATACCTGGGTTTCACACACATCACTTATGCGCTCCTCACATTGAAAGAGACATTCATTATATTTCAAAGCATCATCTTTCATTAAAGGTATTTCTCATTACCTTCAAACGCTCCATTGGAGTACAATGTGTAACAGTTGTTGAATGAATGGATGAAATAAACAGATGTTCTAATTGCCAAGGAAGTACTTGCTGGGTGCTAATCTCAAAACACAATGGACTGCCAGAACAGAATTCTAGTAGAAAAATCACGGAAATTTCATAGTAAAAACGTTAAGCCCCAGACATCTACCTGATACCTTGCAATCAACGTGTTAAATTCACAATAAAGATTTGACAAGAAACTTTGAGAAATTAAAACGCGCTTGTTCATTACAATACTCTAAATGGACTTGACTCCACCATCTAATGACTGGGAAGACAAGTGCAAGACAAAGGATTGGAGGGTGGGGTGAAAAAGTCAAAAGGTCACCACCGAGTGACCCTCAAGAGAAACGAGCGCTGACCACTGAAGCTTGCGCTGAGCTTGCTGGACACCTTCTGCCCAAGCCTTGGGCCCTGACTCTCCCTGGCAGCCCAGAGTTGAAGGCCATTCTAGTTTTTCTTCGGCGCTCAGCTTGCGTTCGCCCAGGACCTTAGCACAAAGAAACCACCGAGAAACAAAACACGGTCCCAGCAGGCGCCGAGGACCCGGGGACCGAGCGCTCTCCGCGGTTCCTCACCACCGGGGTAGGCATGCCGGGGCGCCTCGATCCGACCCTCGCCAAGTATTTCAGAACTTGCCACCCACCCCCCGCTCCATTTTCTCCAGACGTGGACGCGGGACCCGTGCGAGGACAGACCGGCGGAGCTGGGGCGGCGGGCCAGGGACGGGTGGGCGGCCGGCGATCGCCGGGGTCCCGCAACCTCACGCTTCCCCGCCAGCCCCCGCCTCTCCGGCTGCTATTGTTCCCGCTTGCCCCCGCCCGCCGCTTGCCCCCCGCCCGTCGCGAGCTCCCGCCCCCACTCCCAGGAGGGGGTCACCGCGGAGAAGGCGGCGGCGGAGGCAGCAGCAGCACAATAACATAAACACGGTGGGGCCGCCAGCTGCCCCAGGCCTGGGGCGTTCACCGCACTTACCCGCAGCGCAGCGAACCGGGACAGGAAAGGCCACCGGCTGGGACCGGCGCCGTCCGGGAGGTTGCCGCGGCCGTTACCCAGGGCTGCTCGCGGCTCCGCGCTGCGGGCCGCGTCGTCCGGCCTCGGTGCTCCGCTGAGTAACAGGGACGCGAGCCGTCACCGCGCACGCCCGCCCACGTCATCGCGCAGGACCCGCCCCCGCGCCTAGAGAGCTGCCCGCTGGGCGGAGCAGCCCCAGGGCCCGGATTGCGGGGGCGGGGCCCGCAGCCCAGGGGCGGGGTTATTCTCGGGGGCCGGGACGACTGGCGGAGGTCGTCTGGAGGCGGAGCTGCGGGGAGAGCTTGAGAGAGCCGCGCGCGAGAGGCGGAACGCAAAGCGGGAGGGGGCGGAGCCCTGCGCCGGGCACGTGTCGGCGCGTGGCCCAAGCGCCCCGCATCTGACCCGGGGCAGCCTGGCAATCTGTGCCAAAGCCTTTGGAACTCTTTGCCCAAGGGTTTCAAAGTCAGGTGATCTTCAGCCAAACCCGCCTCAGGAACACGTGGCTGATTAGGGCGCACACCTGACTGAGGAGCGCGTTACCTTGACCACAAATAAATCACATTCACAGGACAGCTGACCTGGGCCCAGCAAACCACAAACAAGTAAGTGTGCTCTTCAACCACCTGGAGAAAGCTGCCGCCTGTTTTTCCCCAACCCACATTCTGCCAGTAATAAGAATAAATAGGGTAATGCGTTTATTACCCTACAGTGCTTGTGTCTGTTGAAAAGCCCTTAATATACAACAATATGGGGAATGGTTTCTCAATAACAGGCATTCATACATTTTAGCAATTTAAAGTCCATGTGTTCTGGGAATTCTTGACTTTCTTAAGGAGATACACTATGTATCTAATGAATGTAAGTACTGTGTATGCATAGGAAAAACCTGGAAAGAAATATACCAAATTATGTTAATAACAATTTATCATTGGAGTGTGGAATGAGAGGTGATTTTGTTTTATACTGACGGTATTTTCCCATGCTTTCCAAATAGAAGAATTATGACTCAAAAATAGGTAACTTTTAATTATGAACATATAAGTATTTGTTGAATAAATGAGTGCAGTTAGGTAGATTCTTTTTCATGTTGGGCTAACTGCTGCAGTGATTCTGAATGGGGATGTAAATGTGGACAGTTATTTTTTCCTTCCCATCCTTTCACTCCTCCTCAGCCGTCTTTAATTCCTTCCTTGCATTATTTCTCCAATAAATATTTATTGCATGCCAATTCTTTGCCAGGCACTCTGTTAGCACTGACAGTATGTTACAGACTTTAATCATTGTAATGTGGAAGTAATAACAAAAAAAAAAATACAAAATCTCTGGGAAATAATGATATGGACACACAGTATATGAAACAAATTTATAGAATAAATAAAGTCAAAAAATATTGCAGACAGGTATTTTGGTGTGCAAGGGTGCTGTGAGAATGATCTTGGGTGAGTTGGAGATTGAGGACAGGTCAGTGCAGGTGAGAGCGAGGAAGAAGGAGCTATGAAGTTGGGTTGGGAAGATTAGAAAGGGGCCAAATCTAGGGCGTAACCATGTCACCCTAGTTGAAATTTATGTCCATCCCTAAGTTCAGTGGGAACCCCTTCACATGTTTCATTTGAAGTAGTGGCATGCTCTAAATGAAAAAGACTCCTTATGGAAGGAGACCAGGAAGATGTAGCAGTTGTCTAGAGGACCAATGGCAGAGAATTGTTTGTAAAGGGAAGGATTAAGGGACCAGCTAGGAGATCCAATGAACAGAATCTGGGGATGGTCTAGGAAAGCCCAGCAATCTGTTTTGACTAAGTATTTCTGATGCCCATTTAAGTATGAGAACCACTTACAACACCAGGTCTCAAGTCTGCTTGCTCATTCATATCACTTTGGGAGCTTTTAAAACTACCCATATGTGGACTCCACTTTTTGAGGAAATAGAGTGTCATCAGAAAAAATCCTATGTTTCCTGCTTTTGGCCAAGTATGGGTAATGGTGCTAGTTCTCTGAGATGGAAATCTTCAAAGAAAATGGATCGTGAAAACAGGAATGGGGCCTTCAAACCTCTTGATCTTCCTAAAAGAGACATTAAGTTGGCAGTTAAATATATGTAATTGAGGTCAGGTGGATAAGAGATGAATCACTGACAGATGAAGAATGACTTAATGCCTTGGTCATGGATGAATTACTTAGGCTTGAGAGAGAAGGGATAAAGAATGAGAAGAGTTGGGAGTCCATCTTGAGGAACATTAGCATTAAAAGGTCATAAAGAGGAGAATGAGCCCGTGAAGAAACTGATGGGGAAAGTAGAAGAAAAAACAAGAGTGAGGGATTTAAGAAGAAAGGCTTGATCAATAACATCAAATGTAAGAGTAGGCTTGAAGCCCTAGAGTACCTAGAGTTGGAAATAGATTAAAGAGCACTGAGAAATAATGGGAAATGAGGAATGGAGACAGTGAATATTGATGAGTCACACAGTGCAGAAAGATATAATCATCTTATACAACTGATTAGAAGATTATGTTGAAAGGGGTGGAAGTAGTGGCAGGTACCTCCTGCAGCTCACCAGAAAAATTAAAGACCCTGGAGGTAACAAAAGACAACATATTCAAAGCAGTTTTAAAGTGTAGGGTGTTGCCAAAACAGAGCTCCCAAGTTTAATGCCTGGGTCTATAATGCTGTTTAACAGCTTCTCTTTCATTTAACATGGAAAGCTTCTGATTTAACATTAATCAACCATGTATATCTTCCAACTCTGTATTTCCAGAAAGGACATTATGAATGTTAACATTAATATATGTGCATGTGCGACTTTAGGAAGAATTTCACTACTTGTGTTTGAATGTAATCACTGCCGGCATTCTGCAAATTGAAAATGATTTTTGTAACCCAGGCCTCCTTCTTCCTTCTCATGGCATTGTTTCTTGTTAATCTGTTTGGATCCTTGCAAGCCTATTGGGTAGAGAAAAAAGGAAGCGTAAAGGAAGTCAGGCTTATTGCTTCAGAGGAGTTATTTTAAGGACATGTCTTGATGGGGTATCTCTGAGGCTGGAATGGAGAAGCCGAGAAGGGGAAGCTATAGGTCCCTTAAACCCATTCTCTGCTGGAACTCTGAGAGATGGTCAGGAAGAGGTTGTAACATGTCCAGATAGTTCTTTCCTTGTCATACTTAGGTCACACAAGTACATACTAGATTGTGATAGGCTGAGCTATCAGGTGAATTTTATCAAGCTGTTTTAAGAGAGCAGAAACCAAAACTTGAGGCTTTATCTCACTTCCTAGTTCTCTGATGCCATCATGGAGCAAGGAATTGGGGAGTGGGGCTTACCACTAAGGCCTGCAGAAGGGCATGACCAAGAACATACCCTCTCTCCTAAGCCCCTTGTCTGCTGTTCTCTAGCCTTGCTTTTAAAGCCTCCAAGTCAATTTCCCAACCATGCCCTCAACCACATAAACTTCTCCCTCACAGGAGAAAAGAGGTTCAGCACCTTGGTCAGCCACCTACTGACTCAGAGGTGTTCTGTAAGTCTCTTTCAAGGTAAAGCCTGCCCACTCCAAAGGGGACCAGTTAAAGCCCTGGTTGCAGGAGGAGTTAAAAAAAAAAATAATAATGGTCATGTTCAAGTTGCAAATTATCTTTCCCAATTGCTAGAATGATGATTTATTTTTTCATGAGTCAAGATAGGACCAAAAATGTTAGTGGCTTGTGAGTCACAACTTGAACAGAACAAAGTGGAAGTAAAAGTGGCTCCAATTTAAACTTAGAAAAATTAATAGTATCCGTCTCTTTTCTTAGACTTCCTTCTTCCATTTCACCCCACTTCCCTCACACTGCCCTGGCTTCTGTGTGTACACAAGCGCGAGATAACCAAGCTAGTCAAGATTATGGTTTAATTGCACACCCATAAATTCTCATAAAAAAAACCTGACTAGCATTTATTCCCCTAAGGTAAGGATATTCACACTATGGCCCACAGACCAGCAACATCAGCATTATCTAAAACTTGTTGGAAATGAAAATCTCATACTTACCCAGGCATGCGGAACTAGAAGCCTTGCTTGAGGGACCCAGCAATATATGTCTGAATAAACCTTTTGAGGATTTCTGATGCCCTCCCAAGTTTGGAAACCACTGTTCTAAGACATCTGCTCTCAAGATGACTAGCTCATTTGTATGACCTTAGGAGCATTTAAAACCACCCACTCTAGGCTCCACTTCTGGCCCTCAGATCTCTGTAGTTATTTCAGAATCCCTCAGGTGATTTTGATGTGCAGCTGAGGCTGAGAGCCTGTGCCTTAAGCAATTCAACTTATTTTCTCTTCTTTAAAATCTGAGTAAACTGGACAGGACAATCTGCCCCACTATCCCTTCTAGTTTACTTTTTGTTTCAATTTCTTTCTTTTCATTATTGTCTCTTTTTCTAATATGCCCCTACCTCAACAGCCTATATGCACCAATGCTAAATTGCCCTTTCTCATCCACACCCAGATAATGAAGATACTCAGTGTTCATCTACTAGAGAAAGAAATTAAAGGGGATTGGATAGGAGGAAAATACATTGGCAAAATGTTGAAAAGCTTCCCTGTGAATTTAAAAACCAAATGTGAAAGCCCACTTCCTTTCTACTTTATACAATATCAAATGCCCTAAACATTACAGTAAGCCAAGGCAAAAAGTCAAAGTTATAAGAGTAATAAATGAATAATCCAAGCAGTTATTTTTCAGAAAGTATATGATTATGTAGGTAGATAATAAAAAGAGTCAACAGGTGAGTTTGTTTAATTAATAAACACAGCAATCTCTCTATATATTTGTATTGTTAAGGGGAAGGGTGTCCTAAAGGAACTCTGCAGTCTTATGGACTCCACCCCCTACTCCAGGTTTCTGGACACTACACCTACACCTCCCAGAAACTACATCTCCCAGCAGTACCAGGGAGAGAACTGCGAGGACCCAAGGGCAGTGCTAGCAGGAATTCTGGGACATTTGGGGGAGAAATAGGGTGCGATTGCCTCTTGCGCTCTCTCACTGGGGAAAAGACTCTCCTGACCGCGTGACTCCGTGTGTTCAGTCAGCCTAGCCATAAGGTATTCCAGTTACTTTGTATCCCGCTCTCTCCCTGG